TGTAGCACAGTATGTAATTACTCTTTAGAGCAATTCATTATATATCTCAAAATAAACGAGATGCTTTCAGCTTATCATACTTTCAGATTATATCTTATTAATATGCATAATTATTATGTGTCAATTAAAACATTCTTTAAATGTTTGTCCTTGGTGAGCAGCACCAGGAGTATGTAGGAGCTTGTGTGGAGTACAGAGTGTCAACCTCACCCAGAACTACTGAGTGAGTAATGGAATCCCCAAGCAAGCTACATCCATATTAATGTTTGAAAAGTGCTGGTCTAGAGGATTAGTAATGACTCCAAGGGCTTAGAAGGGTACATTAATTACCCCAAACCGGAGCTTGCACTGGCACTGCTATCAGCACTACATTGTCCAATAGGACGTAAAACACCTCCAGTAACCTCATTCCCTGTGGAGCAATGGCTCTCAATGTGGCGTACTGTATCACTCCATTAATTACTCTCACACATTTGCACGGTCCATATATAAGCCAAAAAGAAAGAAGAGGAAAGGAAAGCTAGGAAAGAGGAAGAGAAGGAGCAAGGAAGGCAGGGAAAGAGGGAAGTGAATGAGAGTATAGAGACGGGGAGGAGACAAAGAAAAAGGAAACAGAAAAGTCACACGTTATTTGTTTTGTTTTATTTTCACCACATATCAAGGTTATTTTTATGTATGGGGCCTGTAAGGGTCTCAACTTCTATTTCCAGACCCACAACTTTCCTCTTAACTTCCTCCAAATCTACTAAATAACACTGAATAGGCTACGTGCATGACACACATAAGGATACGGAACTTTACATAAGACATCTGAGCAATAATAGAAGCTGAATTGAGGTGATGCTATTTTAAGGAGAAAAATTGGGGAAAGGTAGCCTGTGCAACGGCTGAGAATTGAAGATCTAGCTGAAAGAGCCCAGGACACAGACAAGATCATCTCAAATACATATGGTGAAATGTTGCAGGCAGAAGTCAAGGAAAAAAGCTCATAGGAAATTCTCTTGCCACACACTTTTCTCTGTTACAATCTGTCACAGACAGTACATGCAGGGAAAGATCATAGGATAACCTGACAAGAGGAGATAGACTAAAGGGTAGTGGGAAGCACCAGAAGGGGAAAACAAAAATGAACTTCTTATTTGAATAAAGGAAGGCTCTTTTGTAGGACAGCAGTTGTTTGATGGGTTTATTTCCATATCCATGAAGAATCAAACAAAAGAACTTAGGTTTCCTTTAAGCTAAAGAAAAAGCTTAGATTAGAAATTAAACACAGTTTTCTGTAGAGAGATGCGACACGGGACAATTAGCATAAAATGCACAATGACTAAAACAATGGATTTTGGGGAGCAGGATGTAAAGGTAAAAAAAGAAAATCACTTTTGGTGAGGTTGACACTTTTTCTGGATTAAATGCCTGAAGTCAAGCTTCACATTTAATATCTATACTGTTGAATATTGCTTCCTCTGTCCAAGTTCCCATGTAGCAACAACACCAGAAAAGATACAGGAAGCCTGAATCTACTTACTAAGGATGGTCTACAATAAGGGATCTGTAAACTTAGGAGCAGACTTCTCAGAGATAGTAGGGTGTATCTTTAAGTAAAGGCTGCAGAAGTCACCTGATACTGCCTGTTCTATGAGTTCAAGACTTCATCTTAAGGGAAATGAAGGGCTTTTATGCTTTCTGCTATGATTCTGAAAATTTGCATCCTTTCATGAACAAGCCTATAAAAGTATATCGTGACACTTTGCTGAAAACTTTTCTGATCACCTTTAAGTTTACTTTTAAAACAGGTAACAGAATGAAGAGATAATATATAGAATGTTAAAAAGTATTGCCAGCTAGTCTATGTGCAGAGGACTAACCTCAAGAACATATAAAGAACTCAAAGAAATTAGACTTCCAAAATAAAAGACCTGCTCAAAAAGTGGACAACTGAAGTGAATACACTCATCAGAAACAAAAGTAGCTAGTGGGGGTGCTCGGTATGGCTGGCCATCAGAGGAATGCAAATTAAAACTATGCTCAGATGCCATTTTACCTTAGAGAGAATTGCCGTCACCAAAAATCTAATGACAAATACTAGCGAAAATGTAGGGGAAAAGACACTCTACTACACTGTGATCCACAATGTAAACTAGTACAAGCACTATGGAGGTCAGTGTGGAGAGTCCTAAAAAAAACTAAGAGAAATTCTATTTGACCCAGTTATCCCCCTTCTAGATATCTTCCCAAAAGTGATAAATCCTCCTATCACAAGGATACATGCATGCCCATGTTTGTAGCAAGCACCTGCTTTTAAAGTAGCTAAATCTTGGGAACCGTGTGCATTTCATTAACCAAAGAGGGAAAAAAGAGAATGTATTTATATACAACAGATCACGACTGCCATAACAAAAGATAAACTTGAAGAATTCATAGGCAAAGGCATACAACTTGAGAACATAATGTGAAGTCAAATAGGTCAGATACACAAGCATGAATGTCACATGGTTTCAAATACAGAGAAAAATCAAAGAGAGAAGAATGGGAAGTAAGGAGCTGCTCCAGTGTGTGCTTCTCCAAATCAAATCCTACTGTCTTAAGGATATTTCAGTATATGTGCTAATTGATATCATTTAAACTACAAGCTTGTGATAGTTTGTTGAAAAGAAAGGTTTGTGTTACGTGGGTTTTTTGTAAGAATCCTTTTGGTTTGTATCTTATACTCTGCGTAAGTGTGTTTAAGAGAATGATGCACACTGTAGTGACTATTGTTTACTTAAACATAAGAAAGTGTCGGTATTGGAAATATGAAAAATAAAATGTCTCGTAAAAATAAGTGAGGAAGCCAGGATACTAGCACCCATAAATATTAATAAGCTCAACATTTCAGTCTGGGAAGGGCATCACTTCGGACAGATGCCTGTAAATCTCACTGAAGCAGCATTGTTTTGAAATTTCCCCAGACTCAGGAAATTGTATTAAGCACAGAAAACAGCAGCACTGGAGGCACTGGATTGCGAGTGTGTGTGTGAGGTAAACTGGCTAGAACTGGTAATATTCACACTTTGGAAATCATTTGACCTATGCTTTGCAAACAGATAAGGCAGTTCTGAGAATCTCTTTGCTGAGGGATTTGAGAAATCTTTTGTACTGTGTATATTTCTAATTGAAAGCTGGCATATGAAATAACTAGTTTTTTCTCTAAAATCTATTTCACAAGATATTTTCAGGTTTTGAGTTTAAAAATGAGCAAATTTTAGAGGCAGATGGAATTATGCTTAAGTTTGTACAATTAATAGCAGTAAGGAAACTTCTGACACAATTCTTTCATTCACAGAATATTAGGTGAGAGTTCTCCAAAATTCCTTCCAAGAATATCTGTTTTGTGATCTTCTTTATTTTTGGCAATGCCTTTCATAAAATGCAAGTATTTTTAGACAAAACTTGCCTTACTGTCTCTTTTTAAAGAGGCAGAGCAAATGTGCAAGGGCAATGTCTAAATGAAGCTTCTGTTTTTGTTTAAACTTTCTTATTACATGTGACCTGACACTCTTTCCATGTAGGTGTATATCATTTTAATTGTGGTTTTGATTTTATGAAAAACAACTTGCAGAAAAACACAATACTGTATGGTAGAAAATTAATTCAATAAACACCCAATAAAATAATTTTACTTATGACAGGGTATTGCACTTATTTTCTCATGCTTGTTAGCTCTTATAAAACAGCTAACTGTGGCCAAATCAAATAGGCACCATGATATATGTTTAGATTATCACATCTAAATTACTCAGATATTTGCAAGATGTTCTAACTTCCCTTCAGCTCAGATAGAAAATGATAGCACTCTAAAAGCGGATTCTGGCAAACCATAGTTACATAAAATGCCCTTTTCCCACTTTATTGTTCTTTACTATTATAGGAAAATGGTGTCATCTCCCGATTACTGAGAAAGTACAAAAAATAAAAAAATAAAAAAAAGAAAGAAAGAAAAAGAAAAGAAAAGAAATCTCGCCTTCCAAATCTGAGGCAGTCCTTGACTAGTGATGAACAAAGCCAGGCCATCTGTTCTGAATATCATTACTACTTTGGCCATTTGGGCAAGACATCTATCTGCTCTGCTTCCAAGAGAGATTTAAGATTGGAAAATTGGAATGAAATAAGTAGACAGGAAGAGACATATGAACAGACAGAATTTTCCAATGAAAGCTCTCCATTTGTTTGCTTGTCATTACTAGCATCATTTTAATTTTCATCCTGGCCAGAGAGGCAATCTCTGGGGGACTTATTTTACAAAACGTTTCCGTAAAAAACTTAATTCCAGAGTTTCGACAGTAAATGTTTAGGAAGGGAGAAGCATGTAGGTGAACGTGAGTCATCCGTCACCCCCGCCCTGCTCTGGTGATTCTCCCTTGGAAAACCAGAACCATGGGCTGAACTCGCATTTCTGTCTTTTTGGAATCACACTGTGCCTCAGGCCATGTTCATTTCCTGAACTAAACAGTTCAAGAAATCTGCTGAAAGGCAGCTGGCTAACTGCTGGTGTCTGGCAAGTCCCCATCTGTCCCCAAGCCCGGGGTCTTTTCCTCCTGCTTTCACTTTGCCTTTCTCTTAAGCATGCGTCTCTCTTTGTTTTCAGGGGTGTCATTCACCTGAACTTTCCTTCCTATGTCCGTAAACTTGAGCTCTTTACCCTACCCTGCGGACCTCCGGCTTTGTCAAGTGACAAGACACAGTTGTGTTGACTGTAGTTACCGCGCCGGTGATGGTGGAGATGACGACGGCGATGGTGGAGATGGGGTGCTGATGGTGTGGGGGAGCGCAGGCTGAGCGGGTGCCTAGTGGAGAATGGACCGGGGAGGCGGTGGCAAGGGAGGTGCGGAAGGGAAGCAGTGCGGAGGGGTTGCAGATGGGAGCTGTCCACGCACTGAAGTGCTGAAACGCCGCAGCCCAGGCATGGGGGGAGGGCGGGGAGGCGCTGCAAATAGAGAAGAGAGAAAAAAGGCAACAAATACCTTCACACAGGCGCCCAGGCTTGCTTTGGGAATGTATTTCTGCAGGTGTCCTCGCGGCTGAACTCGGTGAGTAAGATCGCCTATTCTGGCAGGTTCGAGCTCAGATTTCTCTAGAAAGCTGTGAATGAGCCGGCTCCACCAGGCTGTGATTTTGGTAGGAGGCGTGTGCGCCGAGACTCTGTCCTTCTATACCGAGCCTGGCTTTCCCCTGGGTCCTAAATGCCTCCACACAGTTCCTCTCCTTCGTTCCTTCAAGACAGTGCCAAGAATAATTGTAATCAGTTCATATCTGGAACAAAAAGTGCAGGAACCATGCTCTCCATACAATGTTCAAAACAGATCTTTAAAATAAATTAATGTAAGCACGGAAACAAACCAGTATGTGTGTGTGTGTGTGTGTGTGTGTGTGTGTGTGTGTGTAATTTTGACAGATAAGAAAGTATCACTGACCAACAGGAAAGAGAAAGGATTATTTTGTTAACAAACGGTGTCAAGAAAATAAACTCTTTCACAAGGCTCTAATTAAAACGCCATCACACCAAAATAAATTAAACATAGATAAAATAGTTTGATTAAGAAGTAAAAATAACTAAAATACAATAAGCATTTGCAAATCTGAAAGGCTTCTGAACATATGAGGCATGGAAGAAATCACAGAAGAAGAAGAAGAAGAAGAAGGAGAAGGAGAAGGAGAAGGAGAAGGAGAA